AAAAAAACAAATGAATAAAACAGCTTTCGCGTCAGAAACATGTGAAAAAATAGTCATTTAGAGCGAGGCCCCACATAGAAGCGTAGACTAAGCGTCATAGCACTCTTGTTGTGTGCACCACACAACAAACAAAAACTTCGCATATAATTGTTGGCACTTGCCTTTGGCGTGCGCTTGTCTCAATTTATTGAGAACATTTGTGGGATCAAAGCCAGCGTTTTCACATAATTGGCGGGGAATTATTTCGAATGCTCTGGCCATCGCAGTTATAAATAACTGGTCCTTCCCTGGTATGCTGCGTGCATACTCACGCAAATGTTTACTAAGTTCGATATCGATAGCTCCACCGCCAGCAACGAACGCATCATTTTTGATGGCCCGGCGGACAATCATTATCGCATCGTGGAGCGATCGTTCTGTTTCTTCCATAAACTGTTCAGCGCCACCCCGAAGGATAATTGTGCAAGTTTGAGCCTGTAAGCCGCCCCTAAAGATGTTAAATCTAAAAGAGTGATTATTGTGAAAAGTAAAGTACCTCTCAGAGCCAATCTGTATCTCCTGAAAATCGTCACACTGTCCAAGCATATCCTGTGTTAGACCATGGACGGTTGTTTGGATACTACCACCACAAGCCATCTGAGTTCTTTTCAGATCTTCCTCGGGCACACGACCGGCACAAAACATGTCTCTGTCAGCAAAATATTGCGTAGCAACATCACCGATTGGCAGCTTTGACAACACGATCTTTACGCCAGCTTTGTGCAACATGTTCAGCTTTTCGTAGAGGACACTCCACTCTGCATCAACCACTTTTTGGTACTCCTGTGAGTGTTACAGGGGGAATACTGACGTACCTCTACAGTATTAAGCCTGACCTCTGCGTTTTCTTTTTCTGCTTTTAATTCGAGTTCAATGTTCAGTAATGCGATAAGCGGCTTCTTGTATGACTTCGGTTGCATCTCAAAACCGGCGTAGCTAAAAGTCTTCTTAAATGCGACACCATTCACAAGCATCGAATCTTCTAAAGCTCCACCCGCTACCTAAAATCTAAATATGACAATAATAAACAATCAAGCCTTTTTTATGCCGATCATTTTCAGTGGGAGGGACTGGTCGAGACTCTTTACAGCGTCCACCACCAACTTCGAAAAGAACCCCTTGTGTCCTGCGACCATTTTTGAACTGAGGGCAGTGGCAGCACACATTTCTAACATGTTCCGCTGCTCGCTATTAAATGAGTTGGATTCACACCGAAAGGAAACTTACGCAGGGCTGTTTTCCTGAATGCGGCAAGCCAGTTCATTCAGTTTTGCCAATGCAATCCTGGCTCCCTCGCGAAAAGCTCTTATAATTACGGCCGGATGGACGTTTTCTTCTATGAAAGGCTTAATCTGCCGAAGGAATTCAGACG